TCCAATATCCACCATTTGATCATACCAAGGCTTGAATACCATCCACATGATCAAAGTGAAGTGCCAGCAATGATTTTGAATCAAAAAGAAGGAGAATTGAGGTTGTTTCACGTGTGCATGAGCATGGAAAATCAGAATTGGGCATTTTTAAATTTCACACAATTGAGCCACAATTGGGCCTCCAATTGATTCCCAACCCATCATATATAATGTGTAAATGAATTTTGAGCATTCATTCATGCTATTTCATGCTCAGAAAGCTCAAGAATAGTTGAAGCAAGCAAAGCAAATTTCAAAATCGTGAAACACAATTGAGGCATTTTCAAGGAAATTCAACTTCCAATTCATCTTCCTTAAGCTTCCTTGAGTGGATCTGCAGAGTTTCATCAAGCTTTATCACGCGTAGAAGCTCCAACGGAGAGACTCAGTTAGGTAAGCTTCAGATCCAAAATTCTCACAATCCATGATGTAATTGCGTGCCATTTTTGTATGTTTGTGATCCCTAAACTTCATATATGGATTTTATTTAATTCTTGTTCATGTTTGTGCACTTTTGTGATTTGAGCTTCAAACTTCATGGTTTCGATTTGGCTTATTTATGGACTAAAAATGAAAACCAACCTTGGATTTGTGATGTACATGAGATGACGAGTTGATTGGTATAAAATTTTGTTAGTTTTGGTGAGATATTGAAACTGTCACTGTTCATGCTAGAGGTTGAAGATGACCGGAGTTGCTCTGGCCACTGTCTGGTAATTTCCCTCCTGTTTCATGTTTAAAACTCAGACTCCTGCAAGGCTTCATAACAACCATTATTAGATCTAGGATGAATATTTGACTTAGACCTAATCTGATGGCCACGATTTAATTTCATTTTGTATTGGAAATATGATGCTTGCGTGGCAACATGTTAACCTTAGGATCACATGACTTCACTCACATCCCACGACCATGACTTATTTTCAGTGTTTGACTTTGCTTTAATGAAACGTTGTGCATTGTAGCTTACATCGTGGCCTTTGGTTTGATTGACTGGTATTTGATTTGAGTGGCTGAGATTTAATTCCATTTGGTTGACTAATTTTGATTGGACTGGGCTTATCTTGCTATTTGAACCCCCTCCCAACGCATCCAAATCTTTTTGCCTTGTTTTCTTACTATTTGCACCACTGCTTGCCTTTTTATTTTCTTTTTTTATTTTGTTTTGTTGCTGTTTAGAATTAAATCATTTTAAAATACTTCCAACATTGATAAAATTCACAAAAAATATTTTCTGGATAGTTTGAAATGTCTTTTATTTTATTTTTTTATAATTATTTTTCATTTAAAAAAGAATTAATCAATTGGAAGTGTTTTATTTGACCTAATTCTTGACATGTTCTTGTTCTTGTTTGGTTTTTGCATTTTCCTTTTGATCCAATGACTGAAAATCAATCCTCATATCCATGATGAGTTGATTGATTTTTGAGGACCATTTTGCCCCTGTTTGGTTGACTTTTGGTTTGACTTTGACCTTGCTTTTGTTGACCCTCGATAACCCTCATTTACAATGGTACACCCTTGTGAATCAATTTCTTTGATGGTGTTGTAAAGTGACATTGGTTGTAATTTCTTGGCCTTTGTTTGCCAACATGATTATGAGCTTGTGTTATTTTATTTGGCCCTTTTTGAATCATTTTCCTAATTTTGAGGTAACTTGCAAGTCAAGTTACCCCAAAGGGAGGTTCATACATACACATTGACCTAGTTTGTCTTGGATATGACTTTAATGGATCCTTTGAGCCTTCAATTCCTTTTGATTCATGTCGCTAACATGTTAAGGTTACTGGTTGCTCAATTTTAGGTCATGATATTGTGTTTTGCTTGTTCAAACTTGTGTTTCTTTTTGAGTTTCCATTTAGGGTTTCCATATGTGGCTTGTTTGCTTTCTTTTGTATAAATGCTTGCATTTTCTTTTAGTTTGATTGCCTTTGATTTTGAGCACTTTTCTATCATCCCCTCTTCTGTCCCATGACCCTGGAGTCTCATTTAAGGTGGCTTAGTCCCTCCTTAGGAGGTACTTGAAGCATACCTAAAATGATGAATCCTTGAGGACTCCTTTGTTCTTTCTTTTGCACTTTGTTTGTGATGCTTATGGTTGAGTGCATATTATGAGTTCCTTGCTGGCCTCACGTAGCCTCCCATCCTCACTTTGTTTTAAGCTTTCCTTTCATTTGATTTGGCTTTTGGCACTTGTGGTTGATGTTGTTTGACTTAGGTCATTTCATCCCACTTTTGGTGCACTTTTGTGTGGTTTCCTGTTGTTGTTTGATTTCACCTTGTGCATTTCCTTCTCTCTTCTTCTTTTGCATTATCATATGCATTCTTGAGGTTGAGATGAGCTTGTGGAGGCTACTGCCCCACACATATTTCCTCCCTCACTTTCATTCTATGTGTGCATCCCATGTTTGCAGTCTTACATTTTCATGTTCTTTCTTCTTCTTCTTTTTCTTCTTCTTTCCCTTAGGATCTCTAATCTCTCTTCTTCAAGAGAGGTTATGATAGACATTAGGTGCTTAACCATGCGTGATAACATTAGGTAGTTCCCTTTTGGTATCCCAACTCTAAGTCCACTTTGCATGCCAACTTTTAGGATTGAGTTAGTCTCCCTTTAGTGCGTCCTTTCTCTCCTTATCTTCAAACACTCATAAAACACATAATAAAGAATAACAAATGTTGTACGCTACAAGCTTTAAGCTACTTGGGGAATGGTGATTGAGTGGCTTCCTCTCAATTTCCTAGAGTGTTTAGTATACACCCTTAGGGTGATATGCGACACATTCGCTCCTAAGTTATAGTCTCTAGTGCAACATGAGTTACAAATCAAATTCAAAACACTTCTTCTCTAAAAACCACAAAAACACTTCAAATCTTTTTCATCCTTCGGGATCTTAATCAAGGAAAATCTTTTCAGATAAAAGAGTGTTGTTAACTCTTAATTCTACCGCAAACGGTAACGCCTAAGTCTCCAATGGTCGAGCTGCATACACCAACTGCTAGAACTGCTAGTTAACCCTACTCGGGCCTAAAATATTTTGAAACAACCGGTGTTCTCGTTATCCCGAACTATGTTTGCTCTGATCTTTCATACCAGATGAAAGTACATAGGCACAAGACGTGATGTCTTGACGAGCAACCTTCCCCCCTTTCACCCGTAGTTAGCCGAACTACGTTGACTCTGACTTTCCCATTGCACAAAGGAATACGTAGGCACAGAGCGATGATGCTCTACTGAGTTCCTTTCTTTTTCTTTTTTTCCCAGACCTTTAGCGTATACTACAAGAAAAAAGGAGATTTACGACACTTGAGTTACGACAGTTATCACAAAACTGTCCTTATTCCTGGATTGCGACGGTTGTCACGACAGTTAGGGTCAACTGTCGTAGATTTTTTGTGACAGTTATAAAAAAACCGTCCTTATTTCTGAACTACGACAGTTCTCACGACGGTTTGAGTCAACCGTCACAGATTTTCTAGGCATGTTGTATAAAATAATTGCAATAGTTACCAAAGAACCGCTCTCTTTCCACTCTCGCGACAATTAAGGCGAACTGTCGCAATTAGTTTAGCCAATCATAATCATTATTTTTTTATTCCTTTAATTATTCACCTTTTTCTTTCATTTTTATTTTCCAACCTTTTCAATTTTATTAATTAATTTAATAATTATAATTTTCATGACAATGTAGCTTAATATTTTTGTTTCAAGCAACCTCATCGTCGACCACATACTCTTTTTTTCGGTAGAGGTAGTTGGAAACGAAGGTTGAGGGAAATTTTCAAGCTCTCCTTCATTCAAGCTCTTCAATGAACCAGATAGATTTTGATTTGAGTAGTTTTATTTCTTCTTCTCCACCGTGAGACACTGTACCGGATTCTTCTCAAGCAGTCGGAGATTCACATTCATCCAGGATCATGGTTTCACTGTTACCCTCTTCTTTCAACTACTATCTATTCTCTATATTGCGTGACATGATTTAGTTTGAAACTATGTTATCTTAATTAGAGGAAACTGACTTTGATCATTTGATTAAGTTTATGTAGTAATTAATATCTCATACCTGTTCAATAAAATAATAAAAAATAATTATTATGATACTTTTTAAAACAAACACATATCCTCAATTTCTTCTTAAATTTAATTTAACTAAACCATTCTTTTTATTTATTTATTATGAAATACTAACTTAAAAAAAAACAAGGAGAAGAATAAAAATTGAAAAAAAAATAAAAAAATAAAACCTCCGAAAAACCCTTTCTTTGCGTCAGTTTCAACCTCACAACCCTAGCTTTGTAAAATTTCAGGTGGCGCTAATTTTTCCAATGGCTTCTCGTTTCCGATCATTCTCACAACCAGCGTTCTCCCCAATCAAATCCACCATCGCAAAACCCAAATCCTCCTCACCGTTTCTCCTCAGAACTCGCTCTCCCGTCACCGTCCGGCAAGTCCTCATCTTCGCTTCAATTCTTCCATTTCTTACAATTTAACGGAATCTTAATTTTCATTGTTCTTTCTCCGTTAAGGTCCGTGGTTGCGTGCAGATATTACTGCAGAACAGGTTCTACAGCTCAAGAGAGTAAGTGTATCCGAGGATGATTTAATTTATGCGGTCTAAGATGATAATTCCATTGAACCTTTCCGTTTTCTTGATTTTTGTTTTCCGCAGGATGTTTCAGGCTTGCAGGTTGTGAGCCTAAATCAGCAAATCAAAATATTACTGCATATGGTCTCCTGGTTTTTGTCAGTAATCTTTAATTCTTTCAATTTATGAAGAAATCGATACTCATAGTTTAATAGAAATGCAACTTGGCATAAAAAAGTTATACATGTCACATTTCAATGATACTTGATATCATTCATGTCTACGATGGTCCACAAAGAACTTACTATTCAATAATTGATGTAGGCCGGCTTGTGTTTTTTGCTGATTATTACATACAACTGTTGAATGAAAACATAAATGGTGGACATTGAAGATGCCAAACATCATTATGGTTTATGTCATGCCTGTTGGGATCACATTGGTGAGCTGGAATTAGGTGGTCTCCTGCATATGGTGATCACATTGGTGAATCAAAATATTACTGCATATGGTCTCCTGCTTGTTGAGAATTTCCTTGAATGTTGCAGGTTATTCCTAGTTCAAACGAAACATTAGGAGTATTGATACTAAAATCTCCCGGATTTTTCCCACAAGCTTATTGGTATTGGATTGGAGTTGGAGCTTTGATTGGTTATGTTTTTCTATTTAACTTTTTCTTCGCCTTGGCTTTGCATTATCTCAGTCGTAAGTACATATTTATCTCTAATTTGTGCTGTGAAATTTACTCAGAACTTCTCTCCGGACGATATAATTCTGTATCTTTTATGCTTCCTTTGCAGCATTCAGATAGGATCAAGCAGGTTTGTCCCAAGAGAAATTGCAAGAGAGAAATGCTTCAACAGCTGATTTTGATGATAAATCTGATACAATGATGGACGAAGCAGTTGGCGAAAATAAAGCTAGCAGTATAGGAAGGAAAGGAATGGTTCTTCCTTTTGAACCTCTATCCCTCACTTTTGATGATATCAGATATTCTGTTGACATGCCACAGGTACATTATTCGGTTACTAATATTTATCGCTGCTGCGAGATCATAGTGAGAAGCTTTTTGAGTCTATTATATTGACTATATAGGAAATGAAAAATCAAGGAGTTTGCGAGGATCGTCTCGAGCTTTTGAAGGGTATCAGTGGTGCATTTAGGCCTGGAGTACTAACAGCTTTAATAGGCGTAAGCGGTGCGGGAAAGACTACTGTAATGGATGTTTTAGCTGGGAGAAAAACTAGTGGTTACATTGAAGGAAGCATCACAATCTCTGGCTATCCAAAGAACCAAATGACATTCGCACGCATATCAGGATATTGCGAACAATTCGATATCCATTCACCCAATGTTACGATTTATGAATCTTTGCTATATTCTGCATGGCTTCGTTTATCGCCTGAAGTCGATCATGCAACTAGAAAGGTATAATTTTCTTTTCTTTTCAAATTAGATAAATTGAGGTGTTATAGTTTATCAACTTTGAACCGATTTCACGAAATGCAGATGTTTATTGAGGAAGTTATGGAGCTAGTAGAACTTAAGTCATTAAGAGAAGCACTTGTTGGATATCCTGGCGAGAACGGACTTTCAACCGAACAACATAAGAGACTTACAATTGCGGTTGAACTTGTGGCGAATCCATCAATAATATTCATGGATGAGCCGACCTCCGGCTTTGATGCTAGAGCAGCTGCTATAGTAATGAGAACAGTAAGGAACACCGTGGACACAGGACGTACCGTGGTTTGCACGATCCATCAGCCGAGTATCGACATTTTTGACGCGTTTGATGAGGTAAGAATCCTCAACCACCATTTTGTTTTAAAAAGTACTACATATTGAAGAATGAAGTGTTTCAATGTCAAAATTTTCAGCTTCTACTTCTGAAATCGGGTGGCGAGCAGATATATGCTGGTCCAATAGGCGCCCAATGTTTCGATCTAATCGAGTACTTCGAGGTGAATCAAATGTAAATGAGATTGTGCATATTAACTATTAGCTTATGTAGCATAAGCATATTCACTTAGTGCATGAATACTATAGGCTATTCAAGGAGTTCCTAAGATCAAAGATGGTTATAATCCTGCAACATGGATGTTGGAAGTTACATCAGCAGGATCAGAAGCAAATCTCAAACTCAACTTCACTGATGTGCACAATAACTCAGAACTACACAGGTTAGACTCTAGTAAAAACTCGCGTTTTTTTCGTTTTCCGTATCTTTATTCTTTATGATTTTGATACTTCAGGAGAAATAAACAGTTGATTCAGCAGCTCAGTGCTCCTTCTCAAGATTCAGAAGATCTATACTTTGATGCTCAATATTCACAAACTTTTATGGCACAATGTATAGCTTGTCTATGGAAACAACACTTATCATATTGGCGGAACACGTCGTATACGGCTGTTAAGACTCTTATTTACTATCATGGAGGGTTTATTATTTGGCCTAGTTTTTTGGGATGTTGGCTTGAAAAGGTATATGGAAATGGAATCATTACATTGATCTCACAATAACTACACCATGAAAAATGAAATTCTAAACAATGTTATATCATTGATAATCACAGGACAAATGAGCAAGATCTATTCAATGCAATAGGATCAATGTATGCGGCTGTTACCTTCATAGGGGTTGTAAATGGTGTCTCGGTGCAACCAATAGTAGCGATCGAGAGAACAGTTTTCATAGGGGTTGTAAAGCTATCAGTATAGGAAGGAAAGGAATGGTTCTTCCTTTTGAACCTCTATCCCTCACCTTTGATGATATCAGATATTCTGTTGACATGCCACAGGTACATTATTCGGTTACTAATATTTATCGCTGTTGCGAGATCATAGTGAGAAGCTTTTTGAGTCTATTATAATGACTATATAGGAAATGAAAAATAGTCAATATAACAGAATACAACATAATGTCTTCCTTTGTCAGTTTGAAAGCACGACTACTTCCGAAAGATGCAAGGTAAGATGCAAGATTTAAGGCAGCACGGGGTTCTGCCTGACACAATAGCAAATATTTATTCATATGCCATAAATTTGTTCCCTGCCTGTGCTAGATGGATATAGATGGCCTTTAGAGGACCTTAAAAATAACTTATTTGAGAACCCGTAGTCATGATCAGCAAATCCTTAGGCGCATAAGCATCAATATGTTTCACCTATGAAAAATTAGAAATAACTATGTACCGGCAACATAAATAAGACTTACAGTTGCTCTAATAATTAAAAATCAAAACTCTTTAAATTTCAAAGAAGACAATTTCCTATCTTGTGCTTTGCTGTGACAATCAACAAGAGTCAAAGCCAATAATTGTCTAAGGTAAGATTGTATCTACCACGCCTTCTATTTACACAATCAAATATATGTTGCTGTATTCAGAACAAAAAAAGAGGTTGAAAATGATTTTGGGTCACTGTTAGGCCAACTAAAAATTTCCCCTACAACTGAAAATAAGCATGTCACTGTTAGGCCAACTGATATTTTTCATTGCAGGACTCTTTTTATATATTTTATGTTATTCAGATATTGGGCTAAAAAGCTCACGTTATGCATTCTTTGCTTTTGGTCAGGTCATTTATTGAAGACTCTCAAGCTGGCATTAAAATATATCTTCAAGATAATAGTTACTATGGACAGAATAATAGGATAGTGACAGTGACAGGAACTCTTGATGAGCAGATGCGTGCTGTTGATTCAGATGTTTCTAAATTAGCTGAAGATTCTCATTATTTGCAGTCAATGAATGCTCCATTTTCATATTAGTGACAATGTCATTTTCAAAGTGTTTTATTTTTTGTCTTAGATATTGTATACATGTTATGTGTGATGTGGTTAAAAAATTAGAGAACGCAAGGTTAATGATTGAAAACTTTTTAATGTTTGTGTTTATTGTGTGAATATCATGAAGATTAAAAATATTATTGTATAAATAATTTAAAGAAAAAATAATATAACTATTTTAGTAGATAATAATTTAAATAAAAGACAATATTATAAAATAATATAACACAATATATAAAAATTAATAATGAACCGTCAAGATATCACATTCACGACAGTTTTAAACCGTCACAATCAACAATGGTAACAAAAATTAAAAGGATATTCACGACAGTATTTAACTGTTGTCATTTCCAATTTATGTCAGTTCCAACTAGTCGTGAAATAGAGTTCACGACAGTTTTAAACCGTCACAATCAACAATGAAAATAAAAATCAAAAGGCTAGTAACGACGGTCTTTAACCGTCGCTATCTCCAGTTTAGGTCAGTTCAAGCCCGTCGTGAAATATAATGACGGTTGTGTGTGACAACTTTTTCAACCGTCGCTAAACAGCTTGGGGACACACGTTTCTGCGACGGTACTACAACCATCGTAGAATGTAATTGGTGGTGGTTGTAACCGTCGTAACTTGCCAAAATAACCGTCGCAATCCATCGTTTTTCTTGTAGTGGTAGATAGTTTTAACACACCCTTTTATATAGACAACAAAGCGTGGATCCCGTTGAGTACGACGGACGTGAGGGGTGCTAATACCTTCCCCTTGCGTAACCGACTCCCAAACCCGAGATTTGGTTGCAATGACCAATCTTATCCCTTTTTCGTTAGGTTTTTCCGATTGTTTCCTTTCCCTCTCGTTGGGATAAATAACGAACGGTGGCGACTCTTCTATTTTCCGCCGGGTGTTTTTCGCAGTTGCGACAGCTGGCAACTCTGCTGGGGACTCTGGTTCCCTATGCGAGTCAATCCCAGCGCTTGTTTGTTTATCTTTGGGTGTTGTATATATGTACTTTATTTACTTTTGCATTTTACTTTCCGTATTGTATCATTATTGTTGTGCTGTGGGGGAGGGAAGTTTTGATGAGAGATAAGACGGACCCGGGCCTGAGTACAAACCTAGCATTAGTAGTGGAAATTAGTGGGGGGGCCGTTTGCTTAGCAGACACAGTTCCCCATGAAATTCACGCTCAGACGAGATTCTCTTTGATGATTTCTTTTCTGGCCCTTAGGGCTCGAGGGGATTTTGGATCTAAGGATTGTCGACTCTGAGGACCGATCATCTGTGATTCAGCTAAGTAAGGCCTTTTCGTGAGATGATGATGCCCAACCAGAAATGGTGAACGTATCATCATTTCTCGAAAGTCTGTGACGCTGATGAACGCATAGGATGACGAACCTTATCAGTGGATAAATCCATACCTGTGAGAGGGATTGGGTTATGCAGGAAACCTTGGCTTTCAGATTACCCGGTTCTTTACAGTGTGAATCTGTGTTCATGATATCAGTGGGTCCTATTGTCGGTACTTTGTTCTTGATAAAGCAGGGCGCTGGTTCTTCTCGATCAACAGCACAACAATCTTGATCCCCTGTTTGCATTTGCATTTGCATTTTCATCTGCATTTCATTAACATGTATTTGTGTTGCAGGTGCATATTTCCTCCCCGATTCTAGTGATCTTGTTATGGAGCCCTTGAAGAGAATAGTTGCTTACAGGTTTCCTACCCCAGATGTCAGTTCTTTGCGGAGTTTGATTGCTATGGATGACATGGAGGTGATGGAGGATTTTAGGCAGTCTTATGAGAGGTTGGTGAGGTTTGTCTGCAACCCTTCAGCATATGAGATAAGTGGTGTCTATACTCTTCTGCAGTTCTATGATGCCCAGCTGAGATGCTTCGTCTTTCCTGATTATGTCCTGGCTCTTACCCTAGAGGAGTATGCTGGGCTGTTAGGGGTACCTATTATTGATCAGATGTTGTTTGTCCATGTTGATGTTGAGCGTGATCTGGCTAAGCTCGCTGCTATATTGCACTTGGATGCTTTAGAGTTGAAGGGGAAGCTGGTTAAGAGGAGTGGGACATATGGTTTTATTTTGCCTTTTCTGGTGGAGAAAGCTCAACAGTTTGCCAAGGATGGGTGTTGGATTGTGTTTGGCGCCATTATAGCTTTTTGTATATACGACATCGTATTGTTTCCTTATCTGCCAGACTTTGTAGATGTGGATGCTTTCTACTTGCTAGCTTCGGGGAATCCGGTACCCACACTTCTAGGAGATGTTTATCATTCTGTGCACCACAAGAATGAGAACCAAAGGGGAAAGAATGTATCTTGCTGTGTCCCTTTATTATACAGGTGGTTTGCTAGTCACATGCCCAAGACAAGTCCGTTTGTTGCTACTGCTGGTACTTCAGAGTGGTCCGATAGGTTGATGGGTCTGTCTGCGGAGAATATCACTTGGTTTGACAGAGACATACTCGGTACAAATATTATTTATAGTTGCGGCGAATTTCCTAACGTCCCTTTGGTTGGAAGGAAAGGTTGCATCAACTATAACCCTTCTTTATTTGTTAAACAGTTTCGATATGCACTGAGGGATCCTCCTAAAGAAGAGGAGATACATGAATCTTTGTAACTCACCGAATTGTTGGAAGGGGATGCCTTAGCTAGATTGGAGCATGCTTGGAGTAGTATTCATCGGAGAGGGAAAGTAGCCTTGGGAAAGAGTAACAGTCGAGCCTATGACCTTTACCTGACTTGGATTCATGATAGAGCTGCGGAGTTTCTGATGCTGTTTCCTTCAGTTGCACCTCTGTATCCTCTCATGATTGAGGAACCCATTACCGTAGACATTTAGAAGTACAATCAGTTATTGTTTGAGAAGGAAGAGTTGAGAAAAGCCAATGAGGAGTTGGAGAAAGAAATCATTCAGCTTCGAAGAGAGAAGAATGAGGTTGTTCATTCCTTCAAGAAATAAACTGAGCTTGTAAACAAATTGGGTACGAATCTGACCAAGGAAACCAATTCTCGGGAGCGTTTGGATTTGGATTTCAAGGTTGTTAATAGTGTTCTTGCCTCCAAGAAGGAAGATTTGGATAGAGCTTACTTAAATATTTCTAAGTTCGATAACCACTGGAATGCTACGCTCAACAACAATAAAGAGCGCGAAGACAAGTTGAAACTACAGATCAGCAAGTTGAAGACGCAGCTCAATGCCAATGACGAGAATATTTCAGCAGAGGCGTCACTCAGACGGGATAGTGAGTACATGTTGAGCGAAGCTATTGCAAACTTGAAGGATTGCAGGTTGAGAGATGATTCCAAGAGATGCAAACTCGAGGCATGCTTTGGGTAAGGAACTTGGGAAGATCATGTTGAGAGTCTGCAGCACACTATTAGTCAGCAAAAGTTACTTATTCAGGGACTACTTGCTAGACCAGATCATCCTGAGACGCGAGAGTTGCTAGAGGACTTCCGATCACGTCATCCGGCTTGACTATCTTGTTTATCTCTTTTTGTAGCTTGTTGCTTGTTGTTTGTTGTACTGACCATCACCAGGCTTGTTGGTTGAGGTCCTTCCTTATTATACTCAGTTGTAGCTTGTACATTGCCTGTTGGCCTGTGATTATATATGAGGAGGTTCTGTTATATGCTTGTCTGTAGGGTTCTCCATTATTGTGTTTCTCCCGAAAACTAGAATCGAGGGAGAAATTTCCCTGTTGCATACATACATGTCTGCATTTTTGCATTTTCGCATTGCAGGTGCATCGGAACTGTTAATCTTATTTCCTGTGGTTCTTAT